TCCTTCCTTCCTTCCTTCCTTCCTTCCTTCCTTCCTTCCTTCCTTCCCCTCCTCCTCTTCCTCCTTCTTGTTCTTCTTGTTCTTGTTCTTCTTCTTCTGACAGGGTTTCCCTGTGTAGCCTTGGCTGTCCTGGACTCACTTTGTAGACCAGGCTGGCCTTGAACTCACAGAGATCCACTTTCCTCTTGCTTCCCAAGTGCTGGGATTAAAGGTGTGTGGCAGCAAGCCTGGCCGGTTTTGTACTTTCTTAAATAGAGCTCTTGTTATTTGGATGTGGGGTGGTAGGAAGGGGAGCGATAAATCCCTGTGTATACAGGCTGAACTCTTTATGTAGCTGAGAATGGCCTTGAGTTCCTGGTTCACTAGCTCTGCCTACCAAGTCCTGGCATTTCAGGTGTCTACCACCACACCCTGCTTTTACTGGAGCTTTTCTGCACAGGCTTTTTCTGGCCCCGGGATCCCTCACCCAGTTTCAGCCTCCTGAAGCCTGTTGTCACGGTGACTTCACCCTTTAAAAGTGAGGAAGCTGAGTCTCAACTCTTCCAGTGGTTGTGTATCCTGAATGCGGGAACCTGACCCAAGATGAGGCACCCGAACTTCCCGGCTGTGCACACAGGCTCCTGGGTGGCCTCCCTCCAGCCTCCCGCAGCCTGACCCCATCAGAGCTGAATGTCTTGGACTAGAAAGGATCCTGGAGGGAGGGTGTGTTTTCTCCTTTATACTTACATGTTGCCAATTCATCTCTTCTAGGCCTCTCTGGTCCTGCAGGTGTCCTATACGCCACCACCGGGAGCTGTGCCCTTGTTCCCACCGTCCACTTCTCTGGCGCCCTCCCCAACGCTGCCCGACATGGACCTGGTGGCTGGTGAGGAGCCCACCCACCCCGACAGGAACGGTCCCCAGAAAGATAGCCAGCATGTCTCCTCAGTTACGTTGGAGAAGAAGCAGGAGATGGCTCCCTAAGGAGGCTGCCAAATCCCAGATGACTGGGGGGAGGGGGCAAGGCCTAGCCTGGCTCTGCACTGCACAGCTCTGGCAAAGAATGTGACCTGAGGCCCAGTGCTTCCCTGAAGCCATGGTACAATGTAACAAAAGACCTACTCACCTCACCCCCACCCAGAAAGAGCCTTGAGTACAAAGTTAAGGGGTGAGCTTCCTTCTTGCCTCTGACACTGAGTTGTGTGGCTTTGGGCTGATCCTGACCTGTGCAGGGATGCTCAAATGCAAAGTGGCAGACTGAGGGAGTCCTGTGCCTGCCTCAGGCCTCTGCTGGGCTTGGCAAGCAAAGATGTACACGGAGGAGGTGGTACCTGGGAAAGCTAGCCTGACGGATGGGCAGTCAGGGTAGGAAGCAGCTGAGGCAGGACAGTGCATTTGCTTAGGGGAAGATTATCTAGGGAAGCTTATCTTCTGGTGAGGGGAGTGGGGACAGAAGCAAGTCATAAAAACCTGAAAAGCCCTTGCCATGTCTGGGTAACCCTAAGCCTGTCTTGTTGACCAGCCCGGTGTGGGTTTCTGTGGAGAGGGAGGCGGAGGGAAGTCTTGCTTAGCACATCCAAGTCTAATGGAGATCACTGGACTGGGAAACCTCTACAGAAGAGAGAGAGAGAGAGAGAGAGAGAGAGAGAGAGAGAGAGAGATGGGCTGGGCTCAGGGAGGAAAAGGGTTGGTGGGGGAGGACAGAGGTCTCAGATGCTCTGAGCTTGACCAACCAGAAGAGGCTCCCAGTTCTGCCTGGTTGGCAATGAGAAGGGCCAGCCATTTCTGAGCATGGTGCTCGGGCTGGGTGGGCGAGCCTGTCAGAGGTGGAGAGTGGAGCCTGCGAAAGGTGGGCTTCTCTCATCCCAGCTCCCTCCTGCCCCTCCCACCTTGGGCTATGCCCTGCCACATACCAGGTGGGGGACAGAGCCAGGCTGAGACTTGGTCCCTGCTCAGTGACAGCACCATGGACACGAGATATTCTGGGAAGAAGTGGCCAGCCCCCACGGGTGAGACTCAGCCAGACCCTACTACCTGTAACTGTCTTACCTGATGAGGTGTCCAGAAGGGCCTGACCTCAGGGGTGGGGGGGGGGAAGGGCCATCCTGTCTTCTTCCTGCTGACTAACTGACTACTATTTTCAAGGGCCAGCTGTGGCAGCTGCTCCTCCTTGACTTCATCCATCCTGGGGACAGGAGGGCAGGCTTAGGGAGTGGCATCACAGCAGCCATACTCTTTGGTCCTCCTGTGGGATTGAGACCTCAGGGTAGGGTCAAAGGGACACGGTGCTCATGAGGAACCTGTCCCTACAGACACAGGTGGGGAGGAAGACACTGAGGACCAGGGCCTGACTGGAGATGAAGCCGAGCCGCTCCTGGATCAGATTGCTGCTGTGGGCCCAGGGGGACCAACCACGCCCAAGAAGCCACCATCCCACCCTCCTCCCCACCACCCAGGGGGTAAAAGAAAAAGAAGCTCAGCCCCGCCTAGAAAGCTGCTGTCAGACAAGCCACAGGACTTCCAGGTGATGGTGGGGAGCCTCTGCGGCCCCTGACTCCTGCTTTAGCTCATCAGCAGTTACAGTGTTCTGCTCCTGGCTGGGTTGTGTAGCTCCAGAATGATGTATCCAGACTTCCGGAGGCCTCCCCTGAAGAAGTTAGGCTGCCCTGGACCCTAACCTGGGAGTTTGTGTTTTGGGGTCTCAAAATTATGCCTCTGTTGTATCCCAAGGAGTCTAATGTGTAAACAATGAATGGGATTAGCCTGTGTCCTTTGTTTGGGTAGCCTGCTCCCTGCGCCCCAGCCAGTGCATGCGCAGCTGGTCCTCTGAGCTTTTCCAAACATCAGTGACTGTTTGTCTGTTTATTCTGTGTGTTGGGGTAGAGCACACAAGTGCCAGTGTGAGAAATGGTCCGAGGAAGTCTTGTGGGAGTTGGTTCTCTTTCCACCATGTGGGGCCTGGGGGAGGAGCTCAGATTATCAGAGCTGGCGGCAAGAGTCTCTCCCCATGGAGTCATCTCACTGGCCTGCTGTTTAAAAACATTTAAATTACATTTATATTCACATGTGATGTGTGTGTGTTTGCACACGGGTGGGCCACAGCGTGTGTGGCTGAAGGATAACCTGCCTTTCTGCTCACTTCCTTCTACCATCTCCCTGTTTTTCGTTTTCGTTTTTGTTTTGTTTTGTTTTGTTTTTGAGACAGGGTCTTCTGTTACTCAGACTGGCCTCTGACTCACTGTGTAGCTAGGGATGACATTGAACTCCTGATCCTCCAGCTCTGTTTCCAAAGTCCTGAAATTAGGCCTGTATGGCTATCACACCTGGCCAAAGTCCTTAGAAAAGTAGACATCTATCCCTACTCACAGCTGCTAAATCAGCTGTCTGAGGCCGAGGATCTGTGCCCAGCAGTGGAGGAAGAAAGATTATCCCAAGTTTGAGGCCAGCCTGGACTACATTGTGAGGATCAGGTCAGTCTAGCTACAGAGTGACCTATTTAGAAAAACAATAACAATAACAGAGTGGGTATTAATGGGATCTCAGATGAGGTCTGTTCTACAGGAAGGCAGGGCTGGCTTTGTCCTTGTCTCAGATGTTATGCAGGTGACACAGCTCTTCTGGGGAGCTCTGGAATTTTCTGGATGCAGGGGGAACCTTGGTGGGAAATTGGTTGTTTTGTAGTGCTCTTTCTATTTTTTGGTTCTCCCTGAAGTCAACAGTGAGCTGGTCCTGAGGTTTCTGATTCTGGGGGCCATCTTTTCTCCTTTCTTTTTGCTTATTCCTTCTCCTGGCTTTTAGATTAGAGTCCAGGTGATAGAGGGGCGACAGCTGCCAGGGGTGAACATCAAGCCTGTGGTCAAGGTCACGGCTGCTGGGCAGACCAAGCGGACTCGAATCCAGAAGGGAAATAGCCCACTCTTCCATGAGGTGAGTGACCCCAGGTACCAGCAGAACATTGATAGCCCTTGAGAATGATTCTCAGGAGAGTAGAAACCAGAGTGTGCATCCAAGAGCCTTTTCTTGTGGTGCCAACTTTGAGTGTTTGAGCCAAGACCAGTGGAGATTACCTGAGACTTGGACAGCCCCGGTCCCCACAATCTCAGAATCCTTGTCCTTGAAATGCTAACCTCTGTGAGACAGAGCCAGGACAGCCAGACTTGTTACATCCCTACACCTTGGCATTGGGCAGTGAGCTCCACCAGTCTCCTTAAACATGGGTGGGTGGCCATGTCTCTCTGCCTAGTCTGAGGGTCAGAGACACTGATTTTCTTTCTTCTCTGTTCTGGATCAACAGACTCTTTTCTTCAATGTATTTGACTCTCCCTCGGAGCTGTTTGATGAGCCCATCTTTATCACGGTAGGGCCTCAGGTGCTCTCCACAGGCTGTGGGTGTTCAATGGTGTGATGTAACACCCACAGACGTGTCTGCCATTGTCTGTAAGCTGGGTTTGTATGTGTGAGGAAGAGGTGGTTGAAGTGGGTGACTGAAGGACCCACAGGAGCTCTGCCAGTGGCAGAAAAAAAGCCCAGGTGGCTCAGGCCAGAGGCCTGCAGTGCCTGGCTTTTGGCTTGCTTTCTCTGTCTGTGCTGTGGCCTCAGATTCTTCCATGCCACAGGGTAAGGGGGGTGCACTAGATGGGTTGGTCCCCTCGGCTGTGTGTCCATGTGGTTCTGCACATGCTCTGGGATTTCCCTGTGGGTTTGTCCCTTTATTTGTGAGGTGGGAGATCGGTGAGGTGAGATATTGCTGAGCACGGTCTCGGGGATGGAGACAGTGCTGGCAGCTGCCGGCTGCTGTCCAGGAGGGACCTGTCAGAGCCACACTCACAGGAAGATGATCTGTCCTTGCAGGTGGTGGACTCACGCTCCCTCAGGACCGATGCCCTCCTCGGCGAGTTCCGGGTAATTGTTCCTTTACTTGGAAGCAGTTAGTGCTCATTTCCGCTTCAGGGGCAGGCCGTGCTGGGAGAATCTAGTTTCAACCCATCTCCCTTAAAACTCCATAAAATAGCCCAACTCATAAAACCTTTCACCTTTCACCAAAGGCTGAGAAATAAAACACTTATTATTTTATATTTTTGGTCATAGTTTTCATCTTGTAGTTCAGGCTGGCCTCGAACATATGGTGATCCTGTTGCCTCAACCTCCCACGTGCTGGAAGTGTGGAGGGCTGAGCCACCATGTCTGGCCTCACTTGCGTTATTGAATACGTGTTTGCCAGGAGGGGATGTGTGTCACAGGCAGTCTCTGATACTGGAACCACGGAAGGAAGTCGAGTGGGTGGAGCCCAATTTCCGGTCACCTTCCCACAGGCAGGGCAGAGGCTAGAGGGCATCCGAGCCCCGGCGGTGTCCCTCTTTGGCGCCTGTGGTAGTTGGGGGCCACCTATATCTATGTGAGTTAGTTTTCTTTAACAATAGGGAAACCCCTGGCCTCTGTGACAGGGTTTTGACATCCCGGAGCTTGATACACTCTGAGGTCATGCTCCCACCTGTCTCTGGCCTGGCTTCATATTCAACTTTCGGAAATGGAGCCTGGGTCCTTGAATGATACCTCACAGCTTCAAGCTTAGTTCCTTTCTAAAAAGATACAGCTCAGAGCTGGAGAAAGTGCTTATGCTTTTCCGTCTTCCTGAGGTCTGGGAGTGACGGAAAGAGAGGGAATGAATTTACCCTCATCTCCATCAGAGTGGGTTAACCCCCTTTTTAAGTTCCCCTTTGTCCCCGTATGCTGGAAGGGAAGTAGTTCTCATTTTTGGCTACTTTGTGTGTCTTGGTTACTTTTTTTATTGCTGTGACCATAGCAACTTAGAAAAGAAAGCATCTAATTTGGGTTGTTCCATGACCATCACGGTGGGGAGCCTGGCAGGGGGCAGGCGTGGTGCTGGAGCAGCAGCTGAGAGCTTAGATCTGATTACATGCGGGAGCCAAAGGGAGCTACCAGGGAACGGCCTGGGCTTTTTAACCTCAAGTTCCACCTCCAGTGCGTACCTCCTCCAACAAGCCACACCTCCTAACCCTTCCCAGACAATTCCACCAACTGTGGGCCAGCATATAGATGCCCCTATGGGGCCATCCTCATTCAGACCGCTACATCAAATGGGGTGGCGCTCTCCTCCCTGACGCCATCTTCCCTGTGGGTCTGGAGTGGAGGTCTGATATGCACCCAGGAGAGGATGCCTGCTCTGGCCTACTTTTCCTGGTAGCCAGAAGTGGACAATGAACAGTCCACTTCTAAGTACCGAGTACTGGAGACCCTGGGGTGGATTTAACAGCTCCTACAGCCTGTAAAGTCGGGGCTGGAGACATGGCTCAGCGGTTAAGAGCACTTGCTGCTCTTGCAGAGGACCCAGGTTTGGTTCCCAGCATCAACATGGCAGCTCACAACTCTCTGTAATGCCATTCCAGAGCATCTGACACCTTCTTTGGAGCCCCACAGGCACCAGACACATATGTAGCACACACGTAGACATGAAGCAAAGCACTCAGACACATATAAAAGAAAAGAAACCTTAAAAATATATTAAACTGCATTATATGGCTGTCCATTCAGCTCCTTAGATTTCTTAGTGTGTTAAAGATGTACTTGTTTTTGTTTTATGTATGTGGGTGTTCTGCCTCTATGTAGTCTGTTCTCTGCTTGTTAGATGAGTGTTTTGCTTTGCTTATTATTTATTTGTTGTTTTAGCAGTTGAAGGAAGGCATTTCTTGGGTGTGAGGAGACATACACAAGCAGGCACACAGAGAAAACAAGCCTTTGCAAAGTAGAGGAGGGACCTTGGGAAACCAAAGCACCGCCGTTCACTGTGTCTCCTCTCTATTGCAGATGGATGTGGGCACCGTGTACAGAGAGCCCCGTGAGTTCTCATCCTCTTGGCCAAACCTGGCATTCTGGTTCTGCACGCTGCTTGGGGGCACTTATTTGAGGGGGCTCCCTTTTACTTCCTTATGCTTTAGAAGGTGGAGGTGGGGTCTGCACTTGGAAGGGAAGCGGAGCTTCCTCTTCAAAGCAAAGCAAGCCTGGTGCCTTCTTCAGGGATGGTATGGCCAGTGGCCAGGGGCCAGAGTAGCACAGCTGGAGCCTGGACCCCTTCATAGTCACTTTACGAGTCCAGCGCTTTTCCTTGCTCTGGTCTGCTGATTTACCAAGGAAGCGGAGAAATGGGTCTGAGTTTGGTTCTTACCACCTCTTGTAGATGTTTCTGGTAATCCTTCTTTTCTCTGACACAAGTGTTCAAAGTACTTTTTGACTGTTCAGTATCTGTCACCACGGATCTTGTAATTGCCAGCCTTCCACACTCCGGGAAATCTGGCTCTGCCTAGAAACCACGGTGTCCACCGGGCAGCTCTCGGCCTCACCCATCCACAGGGTGTGCAACCTGACTCCTGTGCCTGGTGGTCTTTTCGTCTTACCCTGGGTGGCCCGCCCTAAGGTCCTGCCTGCCTGTGGACCGGACCTTCCGCTGTCTCCTGCAGGACACGCTTATCTCCGGAAGTGGCTACTGCTCTCAGACCCTGATGACTTCTCTGCAGGGGCCAGGGGCTACCTCAAAGCCAGCCTGTGTGTGCTAGGGCCTGGGGACGAGGCTCCCGTGAGTACCCTCCTCACAGTGCCTAGTGTAACTCCATGTAAAACCCCACGCTAGGTGTTTTCTTGTGTGAAAGGGGTACTTGGCAAACATGGGAACTGCAGAGCACACGGGAAATATAAATAACGAGCAAACTGCTCAAAATTCTACTGCTGGGGTGTCAGGGGCTGCATGTTTGGCCTTCCTTGATGTTTGTTTTTTCATGTCAGGGTTTCTCTGGGTAGCCCTGACTGTCTTGAAATTCTCTCTGTAAACCTGCCTGGCCTCGAACTCACAGAGATCCCCTTGCCTCTGCCTCCTGAGCGCTGGGATTAAAGACGTGCGCCACCACCCAGAACCACACACAGGTTGAGGATGGCCTGTGGTTAAGCTGTTTTTGTCAAAGCGCTCCTTACCTGTAACCCAAGAGGGGGCAGGCCAGGAGTGGTGGGAGGCGAAGTGGTCAGAGTGTCCTGAGACTGAAACAGGGAGGGAAGGGGGGTGAAGGCAGATGAGTGGGAGATAGCCTCTTGAAGGGCGCTGAGCTGCAGCTGGCGTGGATGGGCTAGTGTGGAGCTAACAGAAGCGCACCCTGCATTAAGTGCCCCGGACCGCTGGACTGCTGTTGCAAATGGCTTGTGCCTCTCTTCCCTGCTCAGCCGTCCCTTCTTCATCTCCCTTGTTTCTTCTCCTTTGCCTGGCTCAAAACCCCAGGCCTCCTCTTCTAGGAGGTCCTCCTTCTCCTTCCTTGCATTCTTACCTCCTTGTAGGCACACGAAATTAGAGGAGATGAGTTTTCTGACTCCCTCCTGGGCGCTTGCTCCCGAGTGTGCTGGGATCAAATGTTTCGCTGCAGATGCTGAAGTGGGGTTTAACACGGGGTGCAGGCTGGGTAAGGGATAGGCTACAGCTCTTTCAGCTAGCTTGCTGAGGAGGCTGCTGGACCAACCTGACCCCCCCCCCCGCGCTTCCACTGCCCACCTGCCCCAAGAAGCCACTAGATGGCTTGTGTTTGCCTGTAGAGTCGCATTTCACCATTACAAAACATTACTGCCTCCATTTGCAAAGATGCGTGTTCTTTCTGTAAGGAGTGAGCTTGGTGGAGCAGAGCCTCACCAAGAGACCTTACCCAGGGTGCCTCTCACCCTTTAGCACCACGTGGACTCTGCGGTCACTGGGTCAACATTTGTGTGAGTGAACCCATATTCCAAAAGATGGGCCTTCTAGCTGAGACTCCTGCAACTACCACACTACTTTTTAACAGGGGAGAGGGGAGCGAGCGCTCATGGGAAAGGGGTCTGTCAGGTTGGTTGGCTTGGATGCCTGCTGTGTGCCAGCTGAAATCCTTACTGTTGCAGATGGTCCTCTGTGCAGCGGGCAGTGTGTATGTGTATGTGTGTGTGTGTGTGTGTGTGTGTGTGTGTGTGTGTGTGTGT